TTATAAGCATCACTTCCATTTTTAAGAGTAAAAATTGGCAGTTTCTAAATATATAAAAAAAAACAATTCTCCAAAAATGGACGAGACAAACACAGCCACATACAATTATGATTTATTCTGGAATTTAGGTTTTGGCACCTGGCTAAAACAGAAAGATTAATAAAAGCTACTGTGATGCCGGGCAGTGGAGGCAAAAGCAAGTGGATCTCTGAGTTTGAGGCCTGGCTCAATAAACCAGCTCTGCTCCATCAAACAGAAGCCACAGTGGTGGTGTTCATGGTGGTGGGCAGTGGTGCGGCACTCTACATCAGTAGTGCCAAGCAGCCGGATTTGCCTTTTGGGATTTTTTTTGTTTCTCTTTTTTTTTTTTTCCTTTGTTTTATTTTGTTTTGAGACAGGGTTTTCTCTATGTAGCCTTGGCTGTCCTGGAACTCACTCTTTAGACCAGGCTGGCCTCGATATCTGCCTGTCTCTGCTTCCCAAGTGGTAGAATTAAAGGCATGCACCACCCTCACCCCTCCACCCCCAGCTGGCCTTTTGTTTTTGAGGCAGGGTCTTTCTACATAGTTCTGAACTATGTCAGAAGAGTAAGCTACTCTTTGTTACTTAAAAGTTAATGGTTAACTTTTTTGGAGACTCACTGTACATAGCCACAGGCTGTCCTGGGACTGTGGTGGTGAGTTCAAGGCCAGCCTAAACTACAAAGCTAGTTCCCGGACAGCCAGGCAGCCAGGACTGTTAACAGAGAAACCCTGGGTGGGGGGGGGGGGTAAAGAGAGAGAAGATAATGAAATCCCAAAGCATGAGTGAATTCCTTTACTATGTTTGATGACATCACAACAGAAGGCATAAAAAGTAGAATACATCAGGGTTGATAGCCTAGTTCACCAGGCAAAATGGTGCAAGAAATCATTATATTAAAAGTGCTCTGTCCTCCCATAAATGGCTAGCAGACATGGAGAACAGCCCATGATACGTCCACAGAGCTCCATTTGGCCTTCAAGTGTATTGTGGATGGGCAGTGTCAAATAGTGGATTGTTTTCTCACACTTGGGCTCCTTCTTCCTGGGTTGTGGCAACAGTAGCAGGAGCAGGTGACTCCACTTTCAAAAAAAAAATAATAATACCTATCACTACTCTATGTTTTGTGTTTTTTTCGAGACAGGGTTTACTCAAAACCTGTCCTTGAACTCGCTCTGTAAACCAGGCTGGCCTTTAACTCACAGAGATGCACCTGTCTCTGCCTCTTGAGTGCTGGGGTTAAAAGTGTGCGCCACCACCACTCTGCACCTATCACTGCTCTTAAGATGGCCATTTAGTGCTCGCTTCGGCAGCACATACACTAAAATTGGAACGATACAGAGAAGATTAGCAAGGCCCCTTAAAAAAAAAGAAAAGATGCCCATTTAACATTCTCACACATAGCATCTGTGACTACCTTCTTCACGAGTCTTTGAACTGAACTGTCTGTTAGCAAGCCTGAATCACTCCACATATATTCTGGGTCTGGTGATTCCCTCTCATTCCTGAAAGTCTTCAGTCCTTTTTGTTAGTGTCTCTGATACTTTCTTTCTCTCTGTGAGTCACTGTAGTTGCATCTAAGTACTGTTTAGTACATTCCTTTAGCAAGCTTACCTGTATCTTTCTAGCTATGCCGTAAGTTTGGTAAGTTTACTAAGGTGATGATTAAGCTCCATTTATTTCAGCCAGCAACTGTAATGGTTTAAATGAAATACTGCAGGTCCCCAAGTGGTGGCAGTGGGCCATGAGACCATGCTGCAGGTCCTGAGACCACAGCGGGCCACGAAAGCAGCCAGTCCCAGACAGGGAGCCACGTGGTGGGTGATAGAGACATGGATAGGCACGAGACCATGGTGGGCCGTGAAGGCAGCTGGGTCCCAGGCAGGGAGTCCCCGAGTGGCCCACAGGCCATGAGGGTCAGCAGGTCCTAGGCAGGGAGCCTAGGCAGGGAACTGCATGGTGGGTGAGAGATGGATAGGCATGCCATACAGAGTCAAGTTGGATATTTATTTAGTGGGTTATGGAAGAGAAGGGGAGAAGGGAAAAGGGCAGAGAGAGAGAAAGAGAAACGGGGAGGGGAGAAGTGGGGAGAAGAGAGCGAGGCAGAAGCTGCCTCTTTGAGAGAGACACAGAAAAGAAGCTGAAGGAATATCCGCCTGGCTGGTAGACAGGGAAGGGAGTGGGCAGAGCTTGTCTCTTTAAGGGACAGGACAGACCATTATATTCTTGTCTCTTTTTTATAATAAAAATATGGGAGGTTAGGCACAACAGGTTAAAGAAATTGAGATGGCGGGTTCTCAAGACTGCTTCCTGCTTATTAGTC